ATTGAGACAATATATATACTGCTGTATATTTATCTTAATGTGATTTATCTACCTTGCCATGTGTACTTTGGTCCATAATATCAAGATTACAAAGCTAGAATAAATAAGAACAATAATAGTAATAATAGATTAAAAAAATCCAAAACTGTATGGACATTGAAATTTAGATATCAGATACACTAGATCGCTTTCTATAGTGAATTGGATATAAGGTTGACCCACATGAAAAAGTTTATTCACAAAATCATAGCATATTGTAGCAAAATGAGAAAACAATGCATAAAGCGAGGGCGTTTAACTCTCACATCACTTATTGAGTTGCTTACATGCTTAACCATGCAAACTCCTAATGTAACTTGAAACACATGAATTAAGACTGTTAGTACTATTTTATCACATTTGTTAATTGTGATATGGCGCACTTCCTATTTACAGTTTTTTCTTCAACATGTAAATGTGTATTGTGCTACTTCAGATTCAATTTATGACAATAACAAAACTAACCAAAAAGTTAACAGATTTTGCATGTGTCACTAATAAAAGCAATGTGACAATCTATATGGCTGTCATAGGCCTATGTTCGAAATTGTCAACCATATCTGACTTTCACTTTCAGCTCCATTGCCACTTTAAAAGACATAAGTTATCGAATATTACTTTCACAAGTCACAAGGGAATCAAAGATGAATAGACGACTGCTTAAGACTGGAACAAGGCAAATTAGTCTGAAAGCACCACTCAAGTAATATCTCACTCAAGTAATATCTTTTGGTTAGAAGACACGTATTGCTATAATAATAAAGATGATGATGACGATGAAGATAATAATAACAACAACAACAACAACAATAATAGTAATAATAATAATAATAATAATCATAATAATAATAATAATAATAATAATAATAATAATAATAATAATAATAATTAATTACTGACGAATATGTTTTCTCAAAATTCATACTGATCAAGAAAATTTTATTCAATGTACATTTGCACAATTACCACCATAAGCTATGACAACATTTTCCAATGCTTACAGTTTCTGAATAGCCTGAAATTTCGTTTAGAAGTATATACCCTAATTCAGAAAACACTAACTCTGCATCACTGACTTTGCGATCAAATAGTGCTGTAATTTGCAGATAAAATTTCACCTTCATTTGAACATAAAATTGACAGATTGTGCTTGTCCTTCTTCCTTAGGTCATCGTATAGAAAAAGAAATGGTATAAGAGCATTGCATAGCAGAATTTCAACCCTTTTTTCCATTGAAAACATTAATTTCTAAAAATTGTACATTCTCCATAAAGACATAAGAGGTCAGTGATTTCCTAAAACACAAATGAGGCAAAATCAATCACTCCCACCATGTGTAACAACATCAACTTCTGAATCTAAAACCCATTTTCCCATTGGGTAACAGAGTTTACATGGCAATAAAGGCGTACAGTAGAAAGGCATAAGTGGTCAACTCACATACCAAACAGATTCTCGGAGGCCTAACGCCAATCCTAGGCTGACTCCTAAGCCAATCGAGCCGGCTCCCATTCAGCTCAAGCCGCCGAGATGGGACAAACTGCAAGGAGGTGCCCAACTTCAGCTCCTGGTTAAGTGACCACCTCCACCGCATTCTGTCTCCCGCCACTCCCTGGCGGATCATGGATGTGATTGAGCTCTGCAAAACGATCGAAGCCAGGGCGAACATAAATATCACGGCGATAATACACAAATAAAACCACGATTTCCCTCTGAAAGGAGACCAGGAGAGCCTCCTCTTGTGGTGGTGGTGGAGGTGATGGTGAGATCGAGATGCCTTGTGCAACGACAGGGCCGCCTTGGACGAGCGCGAAAATGCGGCGTTGGAGCTGTTGCGCTTGAAGGCGAAACGGTCGCGGATCGAGTGGAAAGCCGGCGCCGTGGCATCGTCGGCTGCGGACTCGGCCGCCGATATAGAGTTGCGACCCATTGATCTGAGTGTCGGGAATGAGAGAGAAGTTCGTTATCTGATTTCGGAATTATGACAGTAATGACAGTAATTGGGAAGCGGTAATTGTGATTTTGTTATAGCAAGTGAAGTAGGGTTGCTCTGAGTGTGATTGGATATCTATCATCACAAAAAAAATATTCAATTACACCTCAAATTTAAAACTTAACTAGTATTTAATCTTATGCATTTGCACAGATGTAGATAAAATTAAATATTATAAATTATTTGTAAGCATATAATATCAAAATTATAAGTTAAATAATAGAATTATATTTCAAACATATAGTATTATAAGTTATATTTATGCATATAATATTAAAATATAAATTAGATAATAGTATTAAATTTTAAAATTTGATCATTGGTTAAAATAAATAGCATACGATTTGATTGCATACGAATCACTATATCAATTGCATACATAGTAAAAACTTATATTTTTTATAATTTGAATGATCGTGACCAATTAATTAGCTGAAAAAATTAAATTTATTATAACAATTACTTATATGAGTTTAAGAAATTTTATTTGTGACATAAAAGAAATTAATTTATTTAAAAAACAATCGCTTAATAATATAAAAAAATATAAAATTGATTTCAGTGTAAAATAATTTTATGTAACTTTCATATATCATTTAGTTTAAAATATAATTACTAATTTTAATATTAACTATTATATGATTCCATAAAACTACTATATGATTCACTAAGAAATATAATTATTACTCAATTAACATAAAATATAATAGTTTAACTAACCACAAAAAGTGTAATGAAATATTTTATTATTAATGAGATAGAGTGTATTAATGCCATAAGTATAATTTATTAGGTTTTATTTAATGATTTGCCACATAGGTAAAATTTATTAGGTTTTATTTATTAAGTAAAATTTATTGCTAAGCTAGCAATTATATATATATAGATTCAACTATTAAGTATTAACTCAACACACTATCTTGTGAATCTCGTGCGGGAAGAGATATTTATTAAAATTTATAAATTAAAATTTATTAATTAATATTTATAAATTTAATATATTTAATCAATATGTAATACAATTTATTTATATTAATTTATTAAAAATATTATATGAAATTTAAATTATACAAAGTTACATAAAAACATGTCTACCTTATATTAGTACACAATTCTTATAGTGCACGTAACTGATAAGAAATTATATTATATTCATTTCAAATTAAATGTTATTTTAATTTTTTTAATCAAAAATTCGATTTGACGACAATGTGATCCCATAAAATAATTAATTTGATAAAATTTTATCATATATTTGAAAATCTATGTAAATAATAAGTATAATAGTAAAAATTATATTGTTTCATTAATTAACATAAATTTGTTTTTGTATAAATTATCCAAATCAAAAAAAAATTAGTAGTTGAGTAATTTATTAAACAATTAATAACATTTACATCCAAGTGAATATTGATCCATAAATTATGACTAATTACTTATTTGACTTTTAAATTTAAAATCCAAATTTAGAGTACAAAATAAATTCTCTTATCTATTTTCAATTTTGTAGATTTGTGGTCAGTTATCTTATAGTTCAAATTTATCAACTAATTCTTTATAATTAAATTACAAAATTTAAATTTTATTAACCAATATTGGTTCTAAGATCTTTCTGATTTTCAAAAGGAATAAATATCAATTTGTCAAATTATTATCAACATCGTATGACAAATTATTATGAGAATATGCTAAAATTTGAGAATTATATCATCTTGGTTTTATAACAATCAAACTATAATTTGACTTTCATACTCATATCAAATAAAATTTATGCTACTTATTTTGTTTTCAAAATTTTCAAACACACTTCTATCCCTACCAAATAAAATTCATACAGTTTAAATTCAGAAATTTCATACTCAACTAAAATCGTCCACTTTATACCATAAATTCGGACATTTATTACTAACAACACATTTCTTATTAAAAATAAAAATAGTCATCAGATACAATATGTACTCAAATTTGGTTGTCAAAAAATTCAATGAATGTTTTGTAATATTTACGTTTGGAGGATGGAACTTAAAATTCGGTTTTGTAGTATTTATGTTTGGATGATTGGACTTAAAAATCATGTTTTGGACTTTCAGTTATTTTTTGATTTGTGATTGAGTTATTAATATTGCCTATTTGTAATTTTCTTAAAATCCTATTAATTTTGCCTATTTGTAATATATTTACAAAATATATTTATATATATATATATTATATTTTAAAATGTATATTATATTAAACATATATACTTAAAAAATATAAATAATTTATGAAAACAATATTCAAATAGAATCTAATATATTCAATTATCTTAATCGAATCGCTTACGAATTAAAAATTAAATTGAACAATAAATTGAATACGAATACGAATAGTATAATATTATCACAAACCTACATCGAATGGTTGACTATTTGCTTCGGTTTCGCTTCATTTACGATTCTACACTACATATTCTCAACTCAATTCTGGAACCATAGAATGAGAGATGATACACGTATCCTCAATTCTCTTGTTATAACAATAATAAAATTGAACACCCTTATTATAATAATAAAATAATTTTTTATTTTAAATTTAAAACATAAAATATATTAATTTAAAGAATTTGCTTATAATTTTTTGCATAAAGATGTATCCGCTCAAAATGTGTATTTTTTATTAACCATTGTTAATATTGAAAAATGTAGTATGTTTAGTTGCTAGTGAGATTATGAATTTATATTAAAATAATATTTAAAATAAAATAATTAAAATTGATTTGATATAAAAATAAGAGAGATGATGTGAATTGATAATTAATTAATATTATGTAGATAAATAAATAGTGAATTAAAATTGATATGATATGTAATAATAAAAAATTAATATTATTTAATTATATTAATAATATTTAAGATAATAAAATTTAGTTAAAAAAATGAGTTATTTTATAAACAAACACATACGCTTGCTTACTGCACAAGACAAAACTCTTACATATATTTAATGGCAATATAAAACAACATTTTGGTCATTAATCATTATACACTCTTCATTCGCTTAAACCACAGCCACGAGATAATCCTATTCTGGTAATGCTTGGAGTATTCTGCGCACGTCCCAGGCCGCTTCCCTGTTTGTTTTTATCCGCCCTTTCTTCCTGTGCCGTCGCTCCTTTCCACCGCCTGCTTAGGCCGTCACCAGATGCTGGAGATCTTACCGTCCCTCTTTCCCTCTCCGGGCGCTGTGGCCCTGCCGCCTCCGTCTGGCACACAATCCTCCCTTCCTACTGGCGCCCATGTCAGTCAGCGGTGCTGAGCCGCCACGACCACTGCGCGGTGGGAGAGGGCTCGTGGAACGTGACGTGGGACGCGCGGCCGGCGCGGTGGCTCCACCACCCAGACTCCGCTTGGCTTTTATTTGGCGTCTGTTCTACCCTAGCTGCCGCCAGCGTGCCGCCGTTGGCTAATTCTGATCCGGATTCGAATTTGGAACCTGCGGATCTATCTACGAGGGATGAATCTTGTAATTATAGGGTCGTAGGTAAAATATGATTTTTTTTTTTATTTTATTTTCGGCCTTGTTGATTTAGAGTCTTCGAATTTCACTTAGTGCTGGTTTTTCATAAGATATTCATTATAATATAAATATATAGGTTAATTACTTACTTAATTGATGGGATTAATGTGTGTGTATATATGTATGAATATAGGTGTGGAAGCGGATGGGAGGTGTTTGTTCAGAGCAATTGCACATATGGCGTGTTTGCGAAATGGGGAAAAAGCCCCCGATGAGATTAGACAGAAAGAGCTTGCTGATGAATTGAGAGCTCAAGTATGAGTTTTAAATCCTCTATTCATAAAATGAACTATAATTCCCTATACTTTTTCACTTTTCACTTTTTGCCTTTCTAGAATTTTTATTTTTTATAACCTGCACTTTGCAACATCGTAAAAGTTAGAATATTACTAGCATATTCCAGAATGTGATATGGGGATATTCGTGAAATATTAGTTGGCATGGCAAAACATTGATAAGTCAAGGTTGGTAGTTGCATAGAATGAATAGTTAAGGTTGCAATTGTTGAAAAGGTCACAATTTATGTTGCAAATATTTGTTTTTTCTCTTGGAATTAATATTAACGTCGTGCCATTTCATCTTATTTGTCGTCTGGTTTTATTTAGACCTTTCTCTTCTGGTGAACTGATGAATGTACAGGTTTATTTATACTTTTCTCTTCTGATGAAATGATAAATGTACAGGTGGTAGATGAGCTGTTAATGAGGAGAAAAGATGTAGAATGGTGGTTCTCTTCATTTTTTGGTTTTCATTTTGGTTTTGAGCAAACATATATGGTCTTATTTTTCGGGTACTAATTAGCACTTAATCACATGTTTTTGTGTAGTTTTATAGAGGAAGAATTTGATTTATATGTGAAAAGGATTCGAGAGCCTTGTACTTGGGGTGGAGAACCCGAGTTGCTTATGTGTTCACATGTTCTCAAGTAAGTATTTGAGTTTCTCCTACTTCTCATCTCATCATAGGTTGATGTTATTCAAAAATTTTGTTCTGAGGTATGTTTTTGAGTTTTTCCTACTTCTCAACTCATCGTAGATTTATAAGGTATGTATGGTACCTATGTGTATGCAATGTGCATTCATATTCAATAAAGAACATATTTTGAAAATGTATTAAATAGTAGCTGCATAGCATGAATAGTTTGGTTGCAAGTGTGGTAAACTTCACAATTTCAGCTGCAAATATTCTTTTTTTTTTCTTTTTACTTTTATACTTTACTTCCTTGAAATATTTGCATTTTCACTCCGGTCAGAATTTCTCTTGTATGTTAATTTTGATGTGAACCTTAGTAAATGCTTAATATATACAAGATGTTCCATGGATGCTAAGTTATTTGCAGAATAGATAATCCTTTTGCCTTTTCGACCAGAAAATGTTTCCTTTCATCTGCAATTGGTCGTTGCTTTTAGCGGACTGATAAAAGTTTGTTTCCTTTAATCTAATCAACCAATTTATCTTTGATGCAGGACGCCAATTTGTGTCTTTATGAAAGGGAGAAGCTCATCAAGCTTAACAAAGATAGCAAATTATGGCGAAGAGTATAGAAGAGATGGGGAGAAGTCCATCGATGTTCTGTTTCATGGTTATGGTCATTATGACATCCTAGAAGCTGTATCTGATTTTAGACTTGAAGGAGACATTAATCTCTTGCAATAAGATATTATTTAGTTTTTTTATTATTATTTTAAAAATAAAATCTTTTGAAATATGAATGAAGTTAAATTTTGTATATCTCATTAAAATATAACATGTGGAATCTTGTTACTTTTTAGTTGACTGCGTAATAACGAAGGAAATTTTTGTCTATGCAGGAATCTAATTATTCTTTCAGATACCTTGTTAGGATTTACTAGCTTGAACAACCGAGACCAAAACAATCGTTATACATATTGTTAGTAACGAAGGAAATTTTTGTCTATGCAGGAATCTATTTATTCTTTCAGATATCTAGTTAGGATTTACTAGCTTGAACTATATAAACCGAGACTAAAACAATTGTTATACATATTGTTAATAGATTCGAAGTTTGCTTGTCTCTCATTTTCTGTAAGACC